CGGGGCAGCAGGCACTCGCCGCCTGCGGCGGGGCTGGGGGCTGGCCCGCGGGGTGCGCCTCGAGGGAAGCACCGGCCCCGGGAGCTGATCCGAAACGCGCTTCCCCCTTTTTCTTTCTCTCTTCTTTTTCGAGGGGTGTTTGAAGTAAAAAAGAAAGCCACCCTTCTCAAGAAAAAGACCGCCCCTCCCCCTTCCGCTTTGTTGTTCAAGTTCCCTTGCTTGACTTGCGAAAAGAGATCTTTACACCGGTAGATCCGAGCTGTGCGGGAACTGGGAGGGGTGTGGGTGAGAGAGATTTGGGGGAAAGGGAAGGGAAGCAGAGGCAGAAGCGCTGAGCCGCTAAGAGAGAAGATCCCGCTGGCCTCCCCCCACCAAGCCGGACGCGCAGAGTCGATGGGGCGGCCCCACTGCGTTGTCGTTTCCAAGAAGGACTCCGAATTGAATTTGGTAATTTGGTGCCGGCTTACCAGCCACAGGACTTCTGTTTCCTCACCTCACTGGTCCTCAAGCCACAGCCGACCCCTTTTTGGAGAGGAACGTGGAGAAAGGAGCCGGATCCCCTGGGCCCTCCGTCAAGCTTGTGAGGCAGGACCCTCCCCGAGCTGCATGCGAAGGCGCGTCCGGAAGTTCATGAAGCTGCTCCTACCAGGTCAAGACTCTTCTCCTGGACACCGAGTCTTCGCAAGGACTATGCGAGGAAGGCCAGTCTTCCCGTTTTGCAGATGAGACAGCTGAGGCGCAGGAAAATAATTGACCAAGATCACGCGGTCCGTGGCACAACCAGCCTAGAACTCAGGCTCTCTGATTCCTTTTGCTTCAGCACGTTTAATTTACTAACCAGTTTGTGCAACCTTAGATTCCTTTTTAATTTTCCCAGAAAAAATGAAGATAATTTCGCGTGTAATATCGGAGTTGCTCAGACTTACTGAAGCTCATCCCATGATAAAAAGCAAACCAAACCAAACCAAACCAAAACACATCCCTTTCCCCACTCTCCGCCCACATACCTCACTTCGAAGCAATTGTAGGAATTGTGATTCTCTGGGGGGCCTTCAGGGCCAGGGGTTTGAAGTGTAATTCAACTGGATCACCATTACAGCTGCACGCCTCCCGAGTGGCAGGGTGCAGGGAAGGTGGTGGGACAGGTGGGGGTGAGCGTGGAAGGGGACTCCTGGAGAAAGGCAGGGAAGTATAGAGGAAGCAGTGGGGACTGTCCTGTAGGTTTCTGCTAGGGGTGGGGGAGTGCTGAGAAGGGACCGGTCGTGGGCCCACCCACCTGAAACCCATGGGCCCAATCCCTCCAGCATGCGGAGAGCCCGCCCCCCACATTGGGCCGGACACTGCACCCGGGAAGGCCGGTCCAGCTGACCCACGTTCTCAGGGTTTGCTCCGAGTCCCAGGAGCCAGCACCACAGTCCTCGGGTCCCTGTACCTCCCCCCACCCACAGCCCCCATCTCCCGTCCTAGTTTCACCCATTTGGTTTACTGTACACAAGTCCCTCTTGTTTCCTCCTTGTATAGCAGCTTTGACAACTCCAACTAGTTCAGGGGCTGTTTGGGTGATTTTCTGTTTAGGAAACTGCCACTCAACGCCCCTTTGCTCTCCTGTTTCTTCCTGGTACCCCTTCCCCTCAATCTATTACCCTCCCAAATTAGCAAACCTTTCTTGATTTTGTTTCTTAATAATCAAAATAACTAGCGAAAGGCTAATGATCCTCCCCCCCCCCCCCAAAAAGCAATAAACAAAATAAAAGCCCAGGGTGCCAACCGCTAGCACACAAGGCCAGCTCTGGGAGAGGTTTGTAGTTCACTTTCACGTCCAGGGGAGAAGCACTGATATGCGTGTTTGCAAAAGCAGAAATGTAGCTAGCAGGAGTAGACGCAGAAAAAAAAAAAAACACAACAACCCACAATAGTTGATAAAAACATGCTGTGTCCTCTTACATGAGGGTTGCTCAGACGCCAGTTACTAAAATCAGACGGGGAGCGGGGGAATAAAAAACGCGGACCCATTGTGAGTTTCTCTGGTTAGGAGCGGAGGGCTTCGCGAAGTTTCTCAGACTTTAGGGCAGAGGCCGACCAGTTCCTTTGCTCTCTGGGAGACTACTGCGTGACCCAGGGCTCCTCTTTGAACCTCACAGTTTCATCATTGGAAAAATGTCTGGCGCTGTGGTGGTGCAAATAACGCATATCTGCTGTGGTCAAAATTTCAAATGCTCTAACGTAGATGAACAAATGCATTTCAAAGAGTATAAAAAACTACGCAAAAGGTGATAAAACTGGTGTCATGAGGTGGTGCCAAGAGAGAGGCACGAAGGGTCTGCGTGACTCTTTGTCCCGTGTCTGAGCGCGCAAGGCTCCCAAGTTACCCTCTGAGACGCCCAGAGGGACTGAGCAGTCTCCTGGAATAAGCAGAACTGTTCCTCTGCTTCCTTTACTGGACACTGCAAGAGGCTTTGGGGAGAAGCATCCACACAAAGGGAAATGCCAGTGTCCCGTTACCGGAAAAGCGCTTTCCAACTCCGCCAAAGGCTTGGGAATACCTACCTGCGGGTCCCGCCGCCGGGTCTCGCCTTACTTCCATAGTAATTCCTAAACTGCCTTTCCACCTCTCAGAACTTGGTTAATTAACTTCTTTCCCCGGGCTCCGAGAAAGGAAACGTTAGAATCAGTTCAGCGATTTCCTTCCTTTAACGCATATTTATCGCAGGCCTATTATGTGCTCCGTGCAGCAGCACTCAGTCTCCCAATTTGTCTCTCAAACCGATCCCGAGAGGCATTGATTATTTAAAGGGGTGACTAGACAAAACGCCGTCTAAGTGATTTTAAATTCACTTCAATAAATAAAATGTAGCGTTGGATTAAGGGACTAGTTCTTTAGACATGTTGGAAGTTCAATTTATTAAACATTTGTGTAAGGGATTTTTGAGAGAGACAAAGTATTTCTTTATAAATACATTCATGCACACTAAAAAAAGTCATCTTAAAAAATAGCTTCATTTTAAAACATGCTTAGAGTGTATATGTTGCACCTAAATCTCTAAATGGCACGTATTTCCGCCCTCTCCCCCCCATCGGAGAAAAATGACATCGGAGAAAAATGTAAGTGACGTCGGTGACTTGGCGACCCGCCGGCCTCACCGGTAAGATGAAAGTTACGAAGAACTACTTTGCACTTTAAGGATGAGCGGCGCTAGCCATAAAAATATCTACAGATCATTTGTCCGCCAGTCTGGCGCTGTGGTGGTGCAAGGTGACCACTGATTTAGTCTTGCAGGAGAAAGTAGGATGCAGCTGTGTGCCCGATTAGAGAGGCCTCATTTCCAAGCCCAACTTTGGGTTAATTACTGAGTCGCAGAAATACTGGACTTGCTGATAACGTAGAGACCAACACCAGTCTTTCCGACCGCTGCCTTGAGCATTACCTTCTTTTGTAAACAATGCGATTCGCAAGAGTGTGTTTCCTATTGTCCGCGAGATAAACGGCGACTTCACCCCAGCAGACCACCGTCACACTTCGGGTTTAGCGCTGGGACAGACAACCCGGCTGCACCGAACGTTGCGCGGGTGGATTCTGGAGGAGCGCCGAAGGGAGGGGCGCGACGGCCGCCAGGAGGCGGGGAGCGCCAGGCCGGCGCGCCTCGGCCAATAAGCGTGCACACCGCCTGACAACCGTCCAATTAGAGGGCGCGGTGCTCGGGGCCCCGAGCCGATAATACTAGGAAAGGGAGCAGAGACTAACTATTGCAGCCAGGGGCGCTGCGCTGCACGCAGCTGCGTACGCCCGCCGGGAGAGCCCGAAATCTGAGGCCAGGGCCGCCCAACCTTCCCGCCCAGATTGGGTCACAGGAAGCAGAAAGCAGCTCCTGCGAGGTGAAGCGCTCGGGGCTGCCAAGGACCGATTAGAACTTTGCGGAGTCCGGGATGTGCGGGGCGAGGCTGCTGAGGACTTGATTCATCTTCTCCACCCATCCCCCGTACTCCCCGTCCACTGGGCTCTGAGCCTCCAGCTGTCAGCCCCCGATTTCGTGGCAGGGTGTGGCGACCCTGATTTGTATTTGCAAGCACAGCCAGCAGCCCAAGAGCCAGGTCCTAAAGCTGGATATCTTTTGCCTCGGCTGCTAGCTCGGGCCTCAGAGTCTTGGTGAGTGCTGTGATGTCGCTCCGGGTGTCAGGGAGGGCAAAATCGCCGTTCCTTATCTTTTCTATTTTATCTGGATGTCTTGCCTTAAAGTGCAAACCATGCCCGATGTATATGGAGACCGCGCAGCTCAGCCGTGCGAGGCTCAAGCATTATTGATGTTGGAAGGGCATCTGCAGCTCCTTGCGCGGTGTCCTTATGGGTCTCTGACAGAAGAACATTTTTTGGGTTTGAGTTGACTACTTGCTAGGGGTGGGGGGCGTAAAAGGACCTCTCCAAGCTCAAAAGAGGGTCCCTGTAGTGGTGTAAGGATGAGGCATTTGAGAGGCATAGAATGGTACTTCGCTGGGTCTGAAGGGGTCCCTTGTGATCCAAAGGAAAGTAACTCTCCCATCGATAGTTTCATATTCATCATGGCCCTAGTAGTTGGCTATGGGGAAGCCTGACAAGTGGCCTAGGTCGGCCCAGTTGGACACAGTACTTTTGTGTGTGTGATCCGTGCGTTACCCGGGGACTTGTCCCAAAAGCTGGTGTAAAGAGGCAGAGAGGTCTGTGGTTAAAGATCAGGTGCTCCTAGAGCACTTAGAATCAGTTAAGATAGAAACCTTGTTGAGTTGGGAATTTCTGGGGGCCCTAAAGGTACAAGAAACGCAGTGTGGTGTGGATGTGAGGGACGTGAAGAGAACAGGGCTCCTCCAAGGGCCAGAGGCCCTAGACCAGGAGCTCTGGGCTCAAGGCCCGGGGGTCGGTGCCTGACGGTGGTTGGTGCGTCTTCGGGTCTTTTCGTGTCCCCCCCTCCCCCCCACCAGGGCGCGGGAGACTGAGCGTAGGCCGGAGCCCGAGCGCCGCACCGCGCGCCATGGCCGACCGGCCCGCGGGCCCGGCGGCCGGGGACTGGGAGATCGACGTGGAGAGCCTGGAGCTGGAGGAGGACGGCCGCGGGCCGCCGCCGCCTACGCCGCCCGGGCCCAGCCCGCCGTCGGCCGACGGGGACGGCGAGGACGACGAGGACGAGGACGAGGACGACGACGCGGAGGATGAGGGCGACGGCCTGGAGGCGGGCGCTTCCCCGGGGGTGCAGGGCCGGCCGGAGCAGCAGCGGGGAGCGCCGCGGGGGCCGACCCCCGCGCCGCAGGCCTCGCCGGCGCCGGCCGGACCCCCGGAGCGCGGCGCGAACGCGGGCGGCGGCGCGGAGCCGCGCAAGCTCAGCCGCACGCCCAAGTGCGCGCGCTGCCGCAACCACGGCGTGGTGTCCTGCCTCAAGGGCCACAAGCGCTTCTGCCGCTGGCGCGACTGCCAGTGCGCCAACTGCCTGCTGGTGGTGGAGCGCCAGCGCGTCATGGCCGCCCAGGTGGCGCTCCGGAGGCAGCAGGCCACCGAGGTGCGTACCCGCCGGGCCCGGGGTCGCGCCTCGCGGGGACGTCCGGGCCGCCGTGGGGGTCGAGCGTGGGAAGGGACGGGCAGCCCCCTTCCCCCCGCCCGGCGGAGGGCCGCGGCGCGTGGCGCTTCTGGGGGGGGACGGGTGGTGAAGACGCTTCTCTGGTCCCGGTGGCCTAGGGGGGTCGGGGCAGGGAGGCAGCCGCGGGCATCGCCGGGGAACTTGACCAAAAAGATTTTGTAATTTTAAAAGCAGGCACAAAGGCCTTGAGAGTGGTCTGGGAGGTTTTGGGGAAAGATATTTTATCTTTTACGTGTTTATTTTGGTGGTGTTGGGGAGCAGGGGGAGGACAGTGGTGGCTGCAGTCGCTGTGTTACTGGTGCTGTTCTCGAAAAAGAACCGCGCAGCTTCCACTGTGAAAGGGAGAGGCAGAAAGTGCCGCCCATTTTACAGATGAGACCAAGGGTGGCGTGGGAAGTTAGGTGCCCGAAGCCCTAGGTCCTGAAGCCAGCTTCTGATTTAAGCTAAGGGGCCGGTGGAGGGGTCCCTGGTGCCTCCCACCGGGGGGCTCCAGCTTTGAGCAGAGCCAGCGTTTTCTTTAAGGGTGAGGCTTTTCTTGACCTTTGGATTTCCTGTGTCCATGTGTTCCTGCACTTGGGAGAGCTCAGAGCCAGGGAAGCTTCGGGGTTCCCCCCCACCCCTTACAGACTCAGGGCCTGGGAAGATTTTTGCTTTTACGTTTTCTCTAGGAGGGACTGGGGAGGGGTTCACATCCTCATCGGAGGCAGTGACCCTAATGGAAACCTTTCTGAGGGCCCTGGAGAGTGCTCTGGATGACCGAGGTGGCCTTGGCCCTGGGCTGGGCCTCCTCCAGAGTGAGGCGCTTGGCGCCGAGGGCTCCTACATCCCTCAAGGGTCCCTGGGCATTCAGGGCTGGACTCAGGCATAGAAGGACCCAGAATCCCACCAACCAGGAGGTGACAGAGGGAGCAAAGTTGGGTTTCCCCTTGTCCCTTGCCCCAGGTGGCTGCTGAGGTTTTTGTTTTTGCCTTCATGTATCCCAGGCTCCCACTGTTTTTGGCCAGACCCGGGAGAGTGTGAGAGACAGGTTCCCTCATACCTCTCTCTCAACCCCTTGTACCCCATTCCACTTGCCTTACTGCCAGAAGAAACCAGCTTCACCTCACTGCTCAGTGGCAGGCCACGGACACCTTTGGCCCTACCTCTGCGTGCCCCGGACACAGCTGTCCCCCGCAGCTCTCCTTCAGGGCCTGGCTCCTAAGATCTTGACTGTGGGATGTCCCCCAACTTCTAGCTGTGGGATGAATCTGGAGTGACTCTAGCAAAGTGGCCTCAGAGAAAATCTCCTCTACTGCCTGTCAACTGAAGTAGCTTGTTGCCCTGGAATTAAGGGGCGCTGATGTGAATTTGTTGAGAATTATTTTTACATGGGATGGGAAAATAAATACATTTAGACCGGGGAGGATTGCTGATGCCCCTTCCTTCTCTTTCTTGTGGGGCATTGTTGATTATGTTTCTTGTGTTTACAGGACAAGAAGGGGCTTTCCGGGAAACAGAATAATTTCGAGCGCAAAGCCGTGTATCAGAGGCAAGTCAGGGCACCCAGTTTGCTGGCCAAAAGCATTTTAGAAGGTAAAGCAATGCAGAATTATCCTTTAGCCTTTTAAACCAAGTTCTGAGGGCTTCTCATTATTCACACATATGGCATTTTTATTAACCTGTGAAGGAGCACTCTGAGGGGAGGGTACTTTGTATTAGGAAGTTTTGCTTTAGGGAGGAAATCAGGGTGTGGGGAAATGGATCTCACATACCTCTCGAGGTTTCTGTCACCGGTAATTTTGTTGTCTGCATAATAGTTGTAGTCTGCTTAATAGGCAAGGGGTTAATGTGGAGTGCATTTGAAATTGGCCCTAGTGTGAGGGCATGCCACCAGATCATGGACGGAGCAAGGAAATAAATTAAGAACAAATTCTTTGGGTGTAATTGTAGCTGAAGTAAGTCAAGTGAGGAGCTGAACAGCTACCCACGCCAATAAAGACCTCTAGTCCGACTGATGCATCATCTAATACCACTCTTTTTCGCTGTACTGTATTCCTCCCTGGATTAGCTACATCAGTTTACTATTTCTTATTTCTCGGTTTACTGTTTCTTATTTCTAACCGTCAAGATTGTAGAATCTGGAAAAGGTTTTGAATCAAACAAGAGAAGTGGAGGTTGAATTTGAATTTGAACGGCGTGAATTCTCTCTACCAAGTTTTCACTTTCTCTAATGCTTGGGGATACATTAATTTTACTTAAAATATTGCTGATTTTTAAAAGCAGCTCTCTTTGGGGATGGGATTTATGGCTCTGATAAACAATATATTGATCACCCTTCACCATTTAAATAAAGGAAAGTTTGTATTTGTTGTAATCACTCCTCCTTCATAAGATTCAGGTTGAAAAGCAGTTTGTTTTTTTTTTTTTTTGAGTAGATATTTGCATTCTGTTTTTTCTCATGTGGCTTCTAATTGAGTTGGTTCTAGACAGGTTGTAGAGTTTGTTCGTGTGTTAATCCTGTGCTGTATACTTCTGATCTTAGAATGGTTTCGCGTGCGTTAAAAATGAATTTGGTTGCAAACTGGGTAAACAGATTTATAGCCGTAGGGACAGCACGGATAAATTGAAAAGGTGCCAAAACAACTTGAGAAGTGGGAGGGCAAAATGGAATAGTGAATTCAAGTAAATAACTTCCTGGCAAAAACTTACCTTAGAAATAGAAACACTAATTTTCACATTTTATTTTATTTGCAAATGAGGGCGTTGGGCTTGTCACAATGGATCCTTCAAACAAATTTGCTAGTACTGAGTGCTTGGGGATAGTGAAATACTCAAAGCATTTCATGCTACTAGGAATTCTATTTATGCCGTACTAATCTTAGGTTTTTAAAATCTCTGCCCTTGCTCGTGAAATGTGCAGTGAGTTTATACTGTAATGATTGTCTGCTCAACCATTTTGGTAACTGGCCAACATGATTGGGAGAAATGTTTTAGATCAGTTATTTTCAATAGAGAGGCTGATCTCCTCTCCTGCCTTTAGTTTTGTTTGTTTTTACTGCAAGTCTGGGGGAGGGGGCTGGTTAAATTGTTCTCTGCAGAATCTGTTTGACTAGTTAACAGCTCTTTTCAATTTTCTGTGCTTCCCTGTTTCCTTAGTCTTTTCTGTTTTTCTCCTCACTAATCTGCTGTCACTTTCTCTTTTTTCTAGTTCTCCTTGGATTATTCTCCACCTGTAACAATGTCCATAATGAACCGTCTTTAGAAAATAACAATGCCATCAGCTTTAGGTATAGATATCTTTTTTGATAATGGAAAAAGATGACACGGATAGTGATAAAGCATTGACTGAAGCAAGATGAGCAGACTTGTCTCTTAATATGTAGGAGCCTGGGAAGTAGATTAAACTTTCAGCCAGTGAAGTGTGCCTGTAAAGGTAAACAAACAAACCTGTAATGGCAAAAAAAACAATAACAAAAAGTTACAATCTGGATCTCCTGCTCCCCAAAGAGAACTCTTTTCACTTGAACCTATACTTTTGTTTTCTGTGTGAAACATTAGTGTTTTAGAACTGTAAATTGTTCTTGTTCTTGTCCTGCCCATTTGCAGTGTCTCTGTTACCTTCTGGGTTTCTGGAATTTTCTTCCCTAGTTGTTAATCTCTTTCCTGTGCAATGCTTGCTTATTTTAGGCTACCGCCCAATTCCAGCAGAGACTTATGTGGGAGGGAGCTTACCCCTACCTCCCCCGGTAAGTGACCGGATGAGGAAAAGGCGAGCCTTTGCTGATAAAGAGTTGGAGAACATTATGCTGGAGAGAGAATATAAAGAGAGGGAGATGCTGGAAGCTTCCCAAGCTGCTGCCTTGTTCCTGCCCAACCGTATGGTGCACGGACCTGAATATAACTCCTACAAAAGTGCCTATAGCCCCACCCCAGTGGAGCCTCCAAACAAAGACTTCTGCAATTTTTTGCCCACCTGCCTTGATCTAACCATGCAGTATTCAGGCTCTGGGAATATGGAACTCATCTCTTCCAACGTCAGCGTGGCTACGACTTACAGACAGTATCCCTTGTCCTCAAGATTTTTAGTTTGGCCCAAGTGTGGCCCCATTAGTGACACTCTTCTTTATCAGCAATGCCTGCTAAACACCACCACCTCGGTTCAAGCCCTGAAACCCGGGGCCAGCTGGGACTTGAAGGGAGTGCGAGTCCAGGATGGCCTTGTCACAGAGCACGACATGGTACCACCCAAACTAGAAGGCTCGCTGGTGTCGCCTCATGCTGCAGAGGTCCAGACCTCCAGAAGTGACCTTCACGGTCACCAGGCTGTCCCTGAGAGGTCTGCGTTCTCCCCACCCCAACGGAATTTCTCTCCCATTGTTGACACGGACTCCCTGGCGGCTCAAGGGCACGTCTTAACCAAGATCAGCAAAGAAAGCACCAGGCACCCTGTGCCACTTAAACATAATCCATTCCATTCATTATTCCAGCAAACTCTTAATGACACATCAGGCCCTGAGCTGAAAACGCCATTTGTCAAAGGGGCCTTTGAAGACGCCCCTAAGAAGCCCAGAGAGTGTTTAGTCAAGGAGAACCAGAAGTACACATTTACAATAGATAGATACGCGAAAGACCTTTTCGTCGCCAAGCAAGTTGGAACAAAACTCTCTGTGAATGAACCCCTGTCATTTTCTGTGGAGTCTATTCTGAAGAGGCCTTCATCTGCCATCACTCACGTCTCTCAGTGAAAGGCTGCTTACACAGAAAGCTGGATTTTCTGCCATCTTGGAGGGTTCCTACCAGTGGCTAATTTTTTTTTCTTTTTTAAGAAGAAGGGTTCACATGTTTGTATAAAGAAATTTCTAATGTAAATGGGGATGATTTAAAAAAAATTATATATATTCATATGCATGTACTTTTTCTCACCACATAAATATATTTAAACTTAAAGATGGAAATTGCTTATGTGCAAACTGTAAAGTTCCATGCTTTACACAGCATTTCAAAAAGCAATAAAGTTGACACTGTCTTCTAAAAAGACCCAGTGTTTGCAGAAGTACCTAGTTGTCTTTGTCTAGGTGAAAAACTAGTGTCTGTGAAATGTTTTCTTTATTTTTCTAGGATTTGGTGTATTTTCAAGCGCTCTTAATGGTCAGTGGGGATCATGGGAAGTGCCTTATAATGCCTTAGTTTTGCATTTTGGAGGATGGGTAAATTTTGCTATTCAAGATTGAGGCAAAAATAGCTTTACAGAGAATACAGAACAGATGTGCATGTCTATAGAGTCATAATTTCACGTGATTGGACAAAGTAGAATTAATTTCTAGGGAAATCAAGTTTAAGATCTCATATCATGACCTGGCTTCTTGGGATGGATGTCTTTTAGCTCTCTGAGTCCCAGTGTCCTGATTGCAGTGTTTACCTGGGGCTTCAAGCTTCTGTTCTAGATTGAACTTTCTGTGACTTCTAGGTTGCTAGGGGGTCACAGAGCAGGTCCACTTGTAAGGTGCAGTTGGTTCAAACCATGATAGTGTATGTTTGAACCCCCTCTCAGCCCTGTGTATTTCACTGTCTCCTAAGGGCTGGTGACAGCAGGCATTTATTTTAGTTTAGTTTAGTTTAGTTTTGCTTTTTTCTTGTGTTGATTTGTTTTTATTTATTTATTTTTAATATAATTTATTGTCCAATTGGCTAACATACAGTGTGTCAAGTGTGCTCTTGGTTTTGGGGGTAGATTCCCAGGGTTCATCGCTTACATACAACACCCAGTGTTCATCTCAACAGGTGCCCTCCTCGGTGCCCATCACCCATTTTCCCCTGTCCCTCACGCCCCCATCCACCCTCAGTTTGTCGTCTGTATTTAAGAGTCTCTGATGGTTTGCCTCCCTCCCTCTCTGTAACTATTTTTTTCCCCTTCTCCTCCCCCGTGGTCTTCTGTTAAGTTTCTCAAGATCCACATGAGTGAAAACGTATGATATCTGTCCTTCTCTGACTGACTTATCTCACTCAGCAAACTACCCTCAGTTCCATCCACGTTGCTGCAAATGGCATGATTTCATTCTCATTGCCAGGTGGTATTCCATTGTGTATATAAACCACATCTTCATCCATTCATCAGTTGATGGACATTCGGGTTCTTTCCATGATTTGACTGTTGTTGAAAAGTGCTGATTCCTAGGGGCACATGTACCCCAGTGTTTACAGCAGCGCTTTCAACAGTAGATAGCAGGCATTTAGAGGTAGGTGCAGTCAGGACCAACTGGTCCCCGAGTATCAGCTTTATGCTCCCACCTTGTTGCCCCTGCCAGAGGGTTTCCGTATAGCTCTCTTCTGAGATTAAAAAAAAAAAAAAATCGCTATTCAAATAGCTTCAGGTGACAGTTTGCCGAAGACTGCAGATGCTCGTCATGTCATGAGGGTGGCTTCTTGAGTCTTAACCACCCCTCCCTTCAGTTTTGAGTTCCTTATTACCCTCTAGTTTTGCTCAATAAAATGTTGACTGTTGTTCTATATGATTGATAAAATGAGAGTAAGACATTTATGAGAGTGTTCCCTTCAACTCTGAAAGCCTCATCTGTGGACCCCAAATGAAGCCTTAAGATGCCACAGTCTTTTCAACCCAGAAAATCCAGAGCTAAATATCCGACCTTGAGTTTTGTGATGGAGTAAGTTGTTGCTTCCAATTGTCCTCTCACTTGGGGAACAAGAGCACTGGTTGGGCATGTGGGATGTGCCAAGAAATTTGGCAATTTAAAGAGTTTCTGTCTTGCTCTGGAAAGCATTTAAAATTACTTAAAAATGATTTTGCTACTGATGAGCTCATGTAAACCTCCAGGGGTTCTCTGAATTGTTGCTTAAAATTAGAATCGGTTTCAAAAACAACAGGCCAAACCTTAGATTGATTTCCAGTTTGTACTTGTAAAGTAATACTTGGTTTTATTGAGTCAAATTTACTTATTTTTACTCTTGCAAAAGCCAGAGCAAGTGGAAGTTTGCCAGAGGAAAAGAAAATGAAAGAGGGCAGGGCTCCCAATGACTGTTGAAGATTATTTTCATTAAGTGGAAATATGTTTTCCAGTCATGAATGCCCTGGTGTCAGAGACAGGATCTAACTTCATTCAACCCCTCTGCTCCCCCAGTCATCTTTGTTTTATCTGGTTGTTAATTTTTATCTCCCTATTAGGAATTTATTTTTTGTGTCCAGTGTTAAGTGTAGACTTAACATTCAATCTAACTGCTGCAGAGGTAATGGGGAAAACCCATCATAATAAACCCACATAAAAGTAATTCCAAGAAGAAGTCCTTCTTTTTAAAAAAAATTAATGTTTATTTATTTTTGAGGGAGACAGAGAGACAGAGCACAATGAGGGAGGAGCAGAGAGAGAGAGAGAGAGAGAGCAGCTGAGCTGTCAGCACAGAGGCTCGAACTGATGAAGTCAGACGCTTAACTGACTGAGCCACCCAGGTACCCCAAGAAGAAGCCCTTCTTAATCCAAACATGGATTTTCTCTCTTTCTTACTCTATTTTAATATTTTGAATACTTAACATTGGCCAATTTTTCCCCCTTTTGTGTTCAGTGAACATTTTGGGACATCTTTTCTGTCCTGTTATCTTTTTAATCTCATTAAGTGAATCCAGTTGACTGTGGGTATTAGTGCTTTTTCTCACATTATCAGTGACCAGAATTTTATTGTTCTTGAACATTTATAAGGGTGAGTACTTTCCTTGGTGAATTATTATTGTGCATTAATTCTGCTATCATGCTGAGTTCTTGGGATTTCAAAGCTGCCATCAGCCACAAGAGATTTGTGCTTGTTTTAATCATTTTACTTCAATCACAGCTACTGTTTGATTCTGTAGACTCTTCAAAGAATACTGTCACCAACACATTAAATCCAACTTGTGGATCAGTATAAGCATTTTCTGTGTTCAAGGCAATAAATGGATTTGGGTTTAATTATTTTTAAGAATGTAAAGAAGAATAAAACATGGACCTTTTCCTCGATTTAACTCCCCATATAATGCGGCTCTAATGACATAGTTTTCTTCCATCTTGACTGGTCAAACGTTATATGATTTTTTGCTTAGTTTGCTGTGATGGGTGGTTTACACCAGTGCTTCCCAAACTTTAATGGATGGTGAATCACGTGGGTACCAGATTCTGGTTTTCTGTAGGTCTGAGGAAGGGCATATGATTCTGCCTTTCTACCCCCCACCTCAACCCCACCATGGGATGCTGATGTTGCTGGTTTTCAGCCTACTTTGAGTAGTGAATGTTTTCCATATTTCTGTTAGTCCAATGCACATTTAATATACTCTTCCATGGGTTTGACTTCTAATACAATGGAGTTATCGTAAATAATTTAATATATGGGAATAATTAAAAATTTTTTTTCCTCCAAACCTGCAGAATGTACAACATCAAGAGTGAATCATAATGTAAAATGGGCTTTGCTGATTATGAAGCATCAGTGAAGGTTCATCAGTTGTAACAAGTGTACCACTCTGGTGGGAGATTTGTTAATGGGGGAGGCTATGCATGAGTTGGGGTAGCGTGGGGGGGGGATATGGAAAATCCCTGTACCTTTCTCTCAATTTTGCCATGAACCTAAAACTGTTCTAAAACAATAAAGTAAAAAACACAAACAAAAAAACCCTTTTTTAACCCTTTGGTGGCAGAAAGTAGGACAAGACCTAGGCGTAGTTATAAAGGAGACAAATGCTTCCCTCTCTCTTTTTTCAAAACTAGAAGATCTTTTAGTTTGGTCAAAAAGAAACCATATTTTTATGGGGCACCTGGGTGGCTCAGTCGGTTAAGCGCCCAGCTCTTGGTTTCGGCTCAGGTCATGACCTCATGGTTGTTGGGATCGAGCCCCATGTTGGGCTCTGTGCTAACAGAATCTGCTTGGGGTTTTCTCCCTCTCGTTCTCTCTCTCTGACCCTTCCCCCACTTTCATGCGGGTGCATGCACCCACCTTCTGTCTCTCTCAAAATAAGTAAACTTCAAAAAAGTTTACTTTTAAACTTTTTTATATTTTAAACTGTGGTAAAGTACGCATCACGTAAAATTTACCATTGTAACCAATTTTAAGGGTACAGTTCATTGATGTTAAATGTATTTATCCTGTTGCTCAACCATTACCACCATCCATCTCCAGAACTCTTTTTATCTTGCAAAACTGAAACTCTGTGCTTATTACACGATAAGTTTCTCCTCCCCGCCTGCTCCTGGAAACCATCCTTCTACTCTATGCATTTGACTACTCTAGGTGCCTCATACTGAGTGGGACCATTCTCTATTTGTCCTTTTGTGATGGGCTTATTTCACTTAGAATAATGTCTTCAAGGTTCATTTATACTATAGCATATGTCAGAACTTCCTTCCTTTTTAAGGTTGAATAATATTCCATTGTATAGACCTCACTTTTTCTTTCCTTTTATCTGTCCATGGCCACTTGGGTTACCATAGCAGTGAATAGTGCTGCTATGAACACGGGTGTGCAAATATCTCTTCACTTAGTCCTTACTTCCTGATTTCACCTTCTTCCCATCTTCAGGAACTCAGTTTTTCTCAAGTATACATCCCTCCCACACTAACCGCCTGCCCCCAGTGTGTGGACCTAACTAACCAAGGCAACACCACTCTGCCCAGAGAGGCTCCAATATCAGCTGTGCACTTTTTGATGTGGTTTAAGTGAGTGTGTTATCACATCATCTGCGTTTAAAAGCTTAACCCCAATTGTGGAA